CTGCCCTCCAGTGCTTCTCCTGATTTCCACAAGGCCTCAGAAATCAAGGCCAATGGATGCGAGAGCACTCCTGCCAATTCCCAAAGTATCCGCAGATGCAGCCTGTCAAGACCAGGTGCTTTTGTAATGTCTAGGGCCACGAGGAGCTCCTTAACTTCTAGGGGAGTGACTCCAATCTGTGCTCTCATAACTCCAACCTCATCTGACCCCGCAGGTAGATCTCCCCCCAACCTGCTTTGGGGAGAATAGCAAAATAATTGTTTAACATATGTGCCTGTTCTCTTACATCAGTTGCCAGATCTTTTCCCTCACTTGCAAGCGGCCCCACTGCCTCTCCCCTTTTCTCCTACTCTCTGCAAAAGAACAGGAACCCAAGTTGGCCCTCGTGAAGTCCCACCTCCTAGAACTTGACCCACCGCTCATCCCTGTTTCCCTGATCTCGAAGCACAGGATGGAGTGGTCACTCGCATCCAGAGCTCCCCTAGTCTGCACATCGCCCAGCAGCTCCTCCCTGTTGGTCAAAAACAAGCCTAGGATGCCCCCCCACCCACCCACGTTGCCTCCTGGACCCGCTGGGTGAAAATCCCGCCCTCCAAAGGCTCTAGGAAGTGACAGGACGTTGCTGCCACCACTGAGTGGTCTCTCAGCCAGTATCGGGGAGGTTGAAATCTCCCACTATAACCATGTCCCTCCCCGGGAGGTCCTTCCAATCTGGCCTATCAGGGCATCATCGTCTGGGGTCTCAAGTTGATAGTACCCCCACTATCAGGTCCTGTCCCCATCTAGACCTGCCAATCTTACCCAGATCTCCTCAAAAAGCATTTTTTTTTAAATTAAAAAATATGTTCTAATGCCAGATAGGATGATAGGTGACTTTGATATTAATGTTTCATTTTAAGAATGTTACATTTTAATAGAATGCTACTAGCCAGTCTCTCCAATGCTTGTTGATAAGCATGTCAATCAACTCCCTTTAAAATCTTATTTTAATTCTTATTTCACAGCATCAACTGTCAGAAGGAATGGGACCACCATTAAGCTTACAAGATGGTTTAACATGGGGATTAAACAAATGCACGGTGGACAGATCTATTACCAGCCATCGCCAATGAATCAACACGCTGGATTCTGACATCTAGGAATTTGAAATTACTATAGGTTCCCCATGGTCAGATCTCTGAGACAGGCTGCTAGCACTTAGAACTGTTAGCCAAGTCTGCAGTAAGAAGTGATCTAACTAATGTGTTGGGGGTTCAGCGCATCCTTGCATAGCTGGAGTCTCAGGGGACCAGTGGAGCATCAAGTTTTGCCACCAATGCTGGGCTGCTACTTTACTGGCCTCCCTCCACAATCAGCATAATACTGATTTGTGACAAACTGAACTGGTGGCAAGCAGACTGCCAATGGGGCACACTTATTGGAATGCTATTTCTGCCTGCCTCCAGGTAAACCTGCCAATGCAGGGCCTTCCCATACCTGGTGCTAAGCCTGGTACTGTTCAGTGTAATATGATTAGAAAGCGACACATAAGAAAATGCTAGAGCTCAACCCAGGACCAGAATATATATATTCATGCCTTGCTCCAAATGTAAGCTGCAAAGAAAAGGCATTAACTATTTAGGCTAGCAAGACATTCATTTACACAGAGAGGGGAGGGGGAGGGGGGAGGGAGAGCACCGCATGTTCCATCACCTACAACACTACATTAATAGCTGAGTAACAGGGATTTCTGCTAGCGAGTCAATTGCACTGCTAAGTACCCCAACATTTTGCTTAGCCCGACAGTTGAACTGACTGTTTTAATTTTGATTTCATCTTGCTTTTGGTTTGATGTGCACTTGGGTATGAATCACATAAGTATTTCTTACACTTTTGGGGGAAATTTTAAGGGCCAAGAGCAGGGCTTAAATAGTCTTACACCTGATGGAACCCTGGAATAAAGCCACATGCTAGATTAAAAAGACTTCTCTATGCAAAAGCAGAGATGCAGTTGGGATGCTAAGGAAACTCCAAGAAGGGGCCTCAGGTAATCACAGCATTTATTTCTCCATGTTTCCTTTCCATGCTTCATGCTCCTAGCACAACCAGGAGTGCAGGTGGCATAGCAAAAAAGTATGCAAGATAAATTCATGCTTTAAAGACGATACTACAGGACTTCACTAGCCATATGAATTAGAAAGGGAACCAGCAATGACTGAGCCATCCTTTAAACATATATAGGAATATGTAAAATTGCCCTACAAAGACAGAACACTGTTCCATTCAGTCCAATATAGACTGCTCTGTGCAACTGCAAGGTCTCAAGCAAAAGCACTCATTTCCCAACACGTGTATCAATGTAAAAAGGCAGCACATTCATCCCCAAAATCAGAACTGTGTGCATGAGCCCTTCCAACTAGACACAAATAAGAACTTCCCCCCTTACAATAAATCAGAGTTTAGCCTATAATTTAACATGCACAGTAACTTTTCCTAGTGGGACCGTGTGGACTTCAGATACCAAGGATTGTTGTCTCCAAACCTTTTGCAAGGCTTGTAAACAGTAAATTAGGTTACTTGTATAAAGCAATGATCTTCTTCCATTAGGAAAACTATGAATTGGAAAAGTTGGTCCAGTGTTTTACTTTATTTGACGTCAATATACTATAAACAGCTAACTTGTTAAAAAAAGGTAGACCAGAAATTTTTAGAGGTCAAAAGTTTATGGAGGTAGGAGGTCACACCTTTGAACTCTCACAACCACAAAATCAAGTTTTCTTCAAGGCACATATTTCATTAATGGAACTAAATGTACTTCATGAACAAAAGCTAAACCAGAATTTTAACAAGGATGACAGCACACACCATCTGATCCATTCCCACTTGCCTCCTGCAAATGGAATATTTAAACCAATCAGAAACTTGGGAGCTCCATATTGCATCTGAACTCAGACCACTGATTTGTCTTTCCTCTAACTAGCTAGAATTCGTAACTAATATATAGATTCTGTTTTGTTAGATGATAGCCAGTGTCAATGTTTGAATATTAAGGCTATGCTTTCCCTGAGATGTTCCTTGTTGCTTTAGCCATGCAGACTAGCAGGAAGAACCAAGAGGCAGTGACCACACTCTGTTGACAGGCATTTTGCTTGCTACTGCTAAGCCAGGATTCTTAAAAATTCTGGTCTGGTGAACTCAAATAAAGCAACTCCTTCCTTTTTTGTACATGTTCACATATCCTATAAGACAAGATGCAAACAAGCCAATTTCCTTTAACCTTTGAAGCCAGCACTTGTGTGATTTAATTTCCACTTCATAAATAAAATAATTTTTTAAATAAATAAAACCACCATTTCCCTAAGACAAGTGCAAGAGACAGACATAAAATTAAACCAGGAGCCCTGAGTAGCTGCTGAGCACAAGCATATTGTTTTGAGTGCTAGAGCACAAGCATATTGTTTTGAGTGCTAGAACTGAGCTGAGTCCACAGTCCTTCCACACCAAAATCCACTCCTGGTTGCCCCAAGTATTCTTCATTGCAGCAGTCATTTTTTTCAGTGGTGGGGAGTCATTTTGGTGTTACTAATAAGCAGTTATAATCCAGAAGCCCTCAACAATCATCCTGTACTATATCAGAACCATCTTAGGGTGGCAATACATGCAACCATTCTTTGCTATTCCAGATACTCTGCTACTCTGCAGTATTAACTCAACAAGTTTGCCAACATGCACACACTTGAGACAGTCTACATGCCTGTGTAAAAGCTATAAATAAAACAACTATTCATTAAAGCTAATTCAACTTAAAGAATTATTATTTATCATTAAATCACATTGATGCCATCATCCTCTGCAATACAAGCCATGACTGACCAAAATGCACGATCTGTGCATCCACAGAGAATGTGGAATGTCCGTTCTCTCAAAAACTTGCCACGCAATCCTAAAGACTCATCTTCTAATGTACTTCACACCAGAAATCTGGAAGTCAGAGGACGACAAGGAGGAAGGCTTCTCACCAAATGGGGCAAAATTACAGAGCACAACAGAAAACCATTTTATGGGAAGAGCACATGCACCAAATCCAAATGCTAAGGAAACCCCAAATATCCCCACACAAAACTGGCAACATCTCGACATGTGAACTACTGCACTTTTCCTGAATTAAGAATACCTGGGAAAACACCCACCCCAAAAGAAAGACTGCAAGACAAGTTAAAGCCCATACACGCCATGCTCAAAATACCCGCAGAGGAACAAGTGGAAGCAGCTAACAACATCTCCTGCACGCTGCAGGAGAAGTCCAACCTTTTTCAGGGGAGCTAAAAGAGAACGCTTTCCAAATTTAAACAGACAAAAAAGGCCTACAATCCCCAGCATGCCCCCGCCGGCCATTCTGTCTGGGGCAAACTGGGAACTGTAAGCCTTTCTTTCTGTCTCAGCCTGCATCGGATTGCGCCTTAAGGGGCGGGGGGAGAAACCCCACAGCTGTTATTCAGCACCAAAGTCCATAAATGCCTCCGCTGTAATTGTTACTGGGGCTCCTACTGTAGAAACCCCCAAAGGCGGCCCGCTTCAGCAGCGGCGCGCCAAAACGGTTTCAAGCGCGCAGCCGGCGAAGTCGGAGGAAGGCGCCACGGGCCGACGACCGGAGCGCGCAGGGCCCTCGGCCGCTCAGGGGAGACCGGGGCGGGGGGCGGGGGACGGCGAGGGCCGCGGGGACCTCGAGGAGGCCTGCAGGGGAGGGCCTGCCGCGTTAGTCCGCGACCGCCTCACGCGGAGAACGCGGGCGGGCCCCAGCAGGGCGCTTCAGCCCACCGAAGGGAGGCGGCGGCCGCTCCGGGAGCCGCAGGGGAAGCGAGGGAGAGGGCGGCGGCGGCGGGGGCTGTCAGCCGCGGTGGACCACGCCGAGGCGGCCGGAGCACGGGCGCCCCTAAGCCGGAGCCGGCCGCACGCCGGACAGGGGGCGGCAGAGGAACGGACGGAGGCCCGGCCCGGCCTGTCACGCCGCAGCGCCTCACCCATGTCTGCCTGCGTCGCGCACAGCTCGCTCGCCCTTCCTCGCTCCAGCGACGGCGGCGACAATATGGCGGGCCGGGCCAATGGGCCAAGCAGACCAACCGGGGGCGGAGCTTGGGCGAGGGGGGACGGTGGCCGAAGGCGGACAGAACAGCCGCGTGAAAACCAGCCGCGCGCCTCCTCCTTGGCCGCGCCCCCCTTTAAAGGGCGAGGAGCTCGAGGGGGCGGGGCGGGGCGGGTAGGTGACAATGTTACGAGGAAGCGCGGCTGGGCTAGGGAGCGAGCGCCGGCTTGAGAGTCACACAGGACGCGTCGGCATGTTCCGGCGATGTGCTCGAAGGGCAGCCGAGGAAGCCTGCCGCAGCAAATGCAGTGGCTTTCGGCTTCAAGGAGGTTAATCTACCTGGGTTTCCCTGGCCATAAAGAACTGAGTTGGTCAGATGCGTAAGTAGACAGAGAAAATAGGAATGTGCGTGTATAAAAAGAATGCAGAACGCCTTGCTGTCATGCTAGATCGCTTGGCCTGAGTGCAGAGAGGTCTATTTGGCAGCAAGCAGGAAAGGGTGGTGCTCTCCCTTGGAATGGTTCCACCTTAAACTCAGGCAGGCACCAACACTGGATCTCTGCTGGTTGTCCATTCAGTTCCTGACATTTCTTTTAAACTTGCCCTGGATCATGGGCTACATTTCATGCTGTATGTTTATATTTGTATGTAGAACTTCTCTGGACACCGCCTGTGACTGTCCTGTAACGCAGAGACCAGAAATGTTTGGGTTCATGAATGGACAGGAAAGGCACTGCCCGCTTCATCCCCACCCGTCAGTCTGGCAGTGGCCATGTGGCATGCAGCAGGGACCCCACAGATGAGGAATGCAGTGTGCAAAGAGAAGGCCCTGGGGAAGGACACGCTGTGTCCCCCCACCTCAGGCCACTGAGCTCTTCAACAGCATTTCCGACCAGAGTCTGGGATCAGTCATGTGCTCCCTAAAATGGACCCCAACCACAACCCCGACCGTGCCCCAGGCTGCACTGACTGACATTTCCAAGCCTTTCTTCAAGGCAGCCCCGTCCGGAATGCACTGCAGCAGTCCAGTCTGGGTGAGGCACAGACATATGTATGTGGCAGTGTCCGGGTGACGGGGTTGTCACTGCGGCATTAGCCTAAGCGGCAAGAGGTCCTCCAGCTGAGGCTAGTGCTGCACCTTCCCAGAGGCAAGCCTGATCGTTGGAGGGAAGTGCAAAGTCAACCCAAATATGCTTTTCACCTAGGCAGAATTGGCTCTGCGGCAGCCACTCGGGATGCAACACTAAAGCTGTGTGGTGCCATGCTTGGAATGCCGGACTGAGCCTCAGGAGGCCTCCGCCCCAGCTCCCACCCTCTGGCTTCCCTCGTGGTCGTCAGTGTTTTATTTATTTATTTGGAATTCTTATATGCCGCCCCCTTTGCATAAGCCTCTGGCTGGCTTCCAACAAATAAATATCAATACAAATACATAAAAAGTGGAAACAGCCTGGCAAATAATATAAAACCAATAAATAATCAGCAGTTAATTAAAATAACATTTAAATAAAAAGGTCTTGGCCTGGCACTGAAAAACAAATAATGACGGCGCCAGGCAGACCTTTCTGGGGAGCGCATTCCATTAGTGGGGCACCACTGCAGAGAAGGCCCTCCTCCGGGTACTCATCCTCCTAAGATCTCTCACGGAGGGTTCCCGGAGAAGGGCCTCTGCCGCCGATCTCAAGGGGCGGGAGGGCAGATATGGACACAGGCGCTCCTTTAGGTAACCAGGTCCCAAGCTGTTAAGGGCTTTATAGGTGATAACCAGCACCTTGAATTGGGCCCGGACTTCGATGGGAAGCCAGTGAAGCTGACGGAGGACTGGGGTTATATGAGAACAATGCCCAGTCCCCGTCAGCAACCTGGCAGCTCTGTTTTGCACCAATTGAAGTATCCGGACCGTCTTCAAGGGCAGCCCCACGTAGAGTGCGTTACAGAAGTCCAATCGGGAAGTAACCAATGCGTGTGTCACTGTTGCCAGGCAGTCGTCCTCCAGGCAGGGACGCAGCTGATGGATCAGGGAAGAGGCCTTATTCCTCCCCTCAGTCCAGGCTGGGTCACAGGCAGGCGTAACAGGCACCCAGCAGGAGCCCGCTGGACTTGCTGCTCCTTTCCCTCCTCAGCTGCTGGCTTGCCAGGCTCCAGCCATGGCCCAGGCAATGGCGGCAGAGGTGAGAGGCAACAGACATCTCTGCCTGCTTGTTTGCTGGCACTTAACCTCTCACGCAAGCAGCCGCGGGGAACAAGGCTAAAGGGGCGGCAGGGCAGCAGCGCCTGGTGCCCTGGTCGTAAAGAGGCTGCCTTGCCCGGGCCCCTCAGCAGAGCTGGCACTGCTGGCACGCACACTTGAGAGGACGGTCACAGCATTGCTGGCAGTTGCGCCCACCTTAGAGGCGAGCAGCTGCCATTTCCCCCAGGTTTGCATGAAGTCCACAAAGTGAATGCAACTCAAGACAAGTGCTTTCCAAATGGCAAACCAAAGGCAGCAGCTCTCAACTAACACACCCTAAGAATGACTTTTTAAAGTTATGCTTATTGTAAGTTTCAATAAACCCCCTCAAAAACCAAACAAAAACAAACAAAGCAATAATGTTACTTACATAACATTTGAATAACTCTATTGCAGTGAATACTTATTTATTATGTACCGCTATATATTTTAGGGATAGCAAAAGAGAGTACCACTCTTAAGGCCAATTATGTATAGCCTTCAAAAAGGCAGCCTAGATCTCCATGTAGTTGTCCAGTGACTGACAAATGATTATGCCTGAAAGCTCCCATTCAAACACTGAACGCTCCATCGAGTCCCCAACCCATTGTATTGTGGAAAGTGGCCATTTATCTTTCCAAGGTTACAATATTAGCTGTCAAAAGAGCATGGTAATCAATTTGCATTGACTCTACATTAAAGTTCTAAGAAAAAGGCAAGTAGTTCAAAATAATATACATTTCCCTAAACATTGAAGAACTTTCCATCACGAAGTGCCACCTCTTCTCTAAAAGAAGCTGTTCTGGAGTATTGGCAAACTATACAACTGAGGGCGCTTAGCTGCTTTACACCTCCAGCAACTGAGGGAGAGAAACCTATATGGCATCTAATATGCTCCAAATGGTCATTTTTATTAATTAAGCGTAACTTAATCATCCATTATCCTTTTGGAGCTTAGATGACAGCAGAGTGATCTGTTAGGAAACGACGATCATTGCTCCCATCTTGCTGAAGACCCTGGCTACTGTACTTTGTCACTGAAAAGAGGAATCTGTGGGTGTGTGTTGTGGCTAGGCACGGGGCAGAGCCTTTGTCAGCACTTCCCATAATGAAGTCTTAAAAGCAGGAGCACTGAATGTTGGGTCTAACAGGTGTCTCAGTTGCAGCCACTGCCATGCAGCACAGCTGGCAAATAGGATTTAACAGCACAGACCGGCAGGAAGACATCAATGGGGCCTATATGCTAATCCAGAGTAAAGATCAGCCTGTCCATTCAAATTCACAAAACGCTTTCTTGGGACTCCCCAGCAGGTTGATTTTGCCTGCAGAAACAGACCAGAGCGTAACTGACCTCAACGCTGGGTCACACCTCCCCAGTCACCGCAATGGGCGGAGGGGCCCTACTGGTTCTACTGTTATCGGAAACCGAGTGCAGCCCAGCCCAGTCATGAAGCCCAGCTGTTGCCCCTGCAGCTTTTGGAATCTGAACCGTCATTTGCCACAAGCCCCCCGGGCACCAGGGCATTGTGGGGAATTGAACTGGCAGCCCCCACACCTCAGCTGCTTACCATGGGAGGCGCGGGGCAGGCGTCAGCCCCTTGGCCCAGCTGGGCCCTTGCAGCTGAGCAAGGGTCCTGGCTGCTGATGGCAGGCCCGCCCGCTGGGCAATCTGGGACGTCCTTCCAAAGGAAGCCGTGTGCAGGATTGGACCGCATTACATTTTTACGAGACGCCTGCCCTGTCTTAAAAACAAGGCTCTTCCAACTCGGAAGCTCCCTTCCGAATCCCAGAGGCTGGGCGGCGGGGGGCGTGTGCAGCAACTGGCTGTGGTTATTCTGGCAGTGAGGGGAAGGCCCCGTCCGCCCTCCTGGCTGCATTCTGTCAGGCGCTGAGGCAGGGACACGGCTCCCCCTGGTGAGGGGACTGCGAAGGGCGGGCTGGAGCCCGTGCAGGCCCTGGGAGGCTGTCAGAGGCTTCCCGGACCACAGCGGCTGCGCCCCATTTGCGCTTCTGATCCAGCCGCCAGGCTTGCCTCTGCTCTGGCCCCGCTGTGCCAGGCACAGGATCCTCCCCAGCCCCGCTGTGCCTTGCTGGGAACCTGCCTTGGCTTGCCCCTGCCCCACCTGCATCTTGCCAAGGCCTCCCCAGCCCAGGTCTGGTGTGCCGGCCATGGACACAGCTGCCCATGTCGGTCTCCGCTCCTCTGTGGCAGGGCTGAGCCCAGAGCTCAGACCCAGGCCACGGCTTCCCGAGCACGTTCTGGCTGCAGCTCTGACTCCGCTGCTGGAGTTTCCTGCTGGGGGTGCCTGCTGTGGAGGAACAGGAAGCAGAGGTCCAGGAAGAACAGCCACAGAAACGTTTTAAGGTGTCCTTTTATTAAAATGTGCGTCACCGTTCTGTGTGGCTTGCTCTGCTGTTGTGCGGCTGTCAGCGTGTTTCTTGGGACAGCCGCCGTGGCCTCAGCACTCGAGCCCGACCTGGGGGAGCCTTCAGGTGGTTCGTGGCCTGTGGCTCCCGCCCATGGCAATGTAGACGTCAATGGGGACGTTGGGCAACGTCAGGCAGTGGCACCCTGGACATCTTCGCAGCTGCCTGCCCAGAAGACAGAGAGGAGCAGGGGGAGGTCGCGCATGCATCAGGGGCTCTGCAAGGGGGAATCCCGAATCATTCCGACCTAAAACTCGCCCTGCTCCCAGCTCCCGTTCGGGCTGAAGTTACTTTCTGCACTTTGTTGATCTAGCCTTCCCCAACCTGGTGCCCTCCACAGGCATTAGAACACAATCCCCATCATTCACAGCCAGCATATGGTCCAGCACTCCCCAACTGTTGCCTTCCAGATGGGGATGCTGGAAGTTGCAATCTGACATAAATCCATCAAGAATGGTTTCGACATGTCCGGGATACAGATGGGAGGGCCCCCACTCGTTGCACAAGCCTCGGGGGGGGGGGCTCAGAGCAGAGTTACGCGTGGAGGGAGCAGAGTGAGGGGCCAGGTCCGCGCGGCACTAAGGGAAAGAAGGCCTTCCGCGCAAGACCCGCTGAAAGAAGCGGCAGGTGAGCAAGAGCACCTGTGCTGATCAGCAGGCACAGAAAACAGCGGGAAGACCTGCATTTTCCACTTCAGAACATTTGAGCCTGGGGGCTTCCCGTCAAAACATTTACTGTTCTGGAAGGGCCATGCACAGGACTGATAGAGCACAGTACAATTTTAAGTGGGGACACCCCCCCCCCGACACCTACGCTGCTAGGGCAGTGCTGCAACTAGCAACTAGCTATTACCTATAACCTATATATAACCTTTATTTTATTTATATATATATATATATATATATATATATATATATATATATATAACCTGATGCAACTAGCCTCAAAGAACTCTGCTGCAAACCAGCCATGAGAGCACTGAGTTCAGGTATAAACATTTTCCTTTCCCTGGACATACAGCATCACCAGCACTGTTTCTCCCTGCCCTAAAAATATGTGCAACAAACCCCCTCTTTGCTTTCTTAATTGCTCCCATGCCTCATACATTACTGTCTTCTGCAGCTTCCCCGCATCCTCTCATATACTCACCAAGGGCCAGTTTCATCCGGGGCATGCATGTCTCTTTTTGCTTTTGCACTTGGCCGAAATAATGTGGTCCTAAACACTGGCACTCATTTCCTGCCACTTGTCCTGGGATGTCTGATGTCACTGAATTGAGAACAGTGTATACTGCTTTTGGTTCACCTCTACTTCCAAAGGCAGATTCCCTCACACGGAGGGCTCCTCTGCACCAGGCCTCCTTCTGCCCTGTCCACTTTTGGTTCATCCCAGAAGTGAGACTGAGCCGTGCGCATGGACACTTTTCTTTCTCGCTTCCCACTGCAAAGCCTTTACGTGGCATGCACTACAGGAGCATGCTGCCATTACAAAAGGGGAGCATTCCCTTTCAGGAAAAAATATCCAGTTTCCTGGCTTTAAACAGAAACTGAGCCGTTAAAAAACGGAAGTGAAACTGGAGGGCAGCAGCGCAGTCTAAACAACCCGTCAGCAATGGGGAATAAGGAATAATGTGCGTACGATGCACACCTCATGCGGAGAAAGGGTATCTACTGCAGCAGCCTTTCCTGTCTTGGCACCCTCTGGACAAGCTGGACCAGAAGCCCCGCTGTACGCAGCCAGCTTGGCCGAGAGGCTAGGGAGGGCCACGCAACACTCCGCGAGGAGAAAGGGAGCTCGGGTTGTTTCGCTTGTCTCACCCCCTTCGCTTACCTTGGTGCAGTGCGCTCAGGGACAACGGGCTCCTGTGCTTCGGGGGCAGTCGCCAGGCTGGGAGAATCTCCTGCCTCTATTGGAAATCTCCGAGCTTGTGGGGTCTCTTGGGAGCTCATGTCCGAGCCCCAGACCTGTCTAAGGAAGAGGGAAAGGTTCAGCGAGACACTCCATGCGCCCTGAGTCAGATCCATGTGCCAACCCTGTAAGACACACGCTCTAGCGGAACAAGAAGTTGATGGGGAGGCTGCAGAAGAGCAAAGAGGGCAAGCCCATGTCAACTGGATGGGCAGAGAAAGACCACCCCAGCCTGGGCACGTGCGTTTCTGACTGCCAAGGGTATTTGCTAGTGTGGTTCTGCCAGCCGTTCTCCGGAGGCTTTTGGCAGTCCAGCTGAGCTACAATTCCCTTTGGAGTTGCTACCCCGCTGGGAATGGCGGCTGGAGGTTCCCAAGCTTTCTTCTTTGGAGAGTGTTTTTGTGTCAATGGCTCAGAGAACCCCTAAATATATCAATCCGTGGGAACAGGGAGAGAATCAGGGCAAGAATGCATGCTTGGAGAGGCAGCTCTGAGGGGTGCGTGGGGCTGCAAGTGGAGCCTCCGTACATGCCCCCTCCCCGGCACCGCCAGCTAATTTAGGAGCACGTACGTGTGAGCCAGCCCTTGCTGGGGCCCGCAGTGCCCAGGCCCGCAGTGCCCGCCCACACGCAGCAGCCACAAAGCTGCCCCCCGCCCCGCCCTGCCCCCCCGCGGAAGACGCGCTGCCATCCCTGCGTGGCTGCACTAGGCGTTTACTGGCCAGAGGCCTTTGAGGGCAGCCCAGCACTGAGCCGAATGGGCTTTCCTTGGAGTCGCCCTGCCACCGCAGCCTGGAAACAGGGCTGAGTCCCGGAGAGCAGCCCCACCTCAGGACGAGTCCCTCTTTCAGGGACACCCCAGCCTCCCGCCATGAGATGTCAGGAATGTGGGGCCCCAGGCTGAGCAGTTCCTCCTCTTTGGGGCCTCCTGCTCTTGGCTTCTGGGGTTCAGCCTTACCTATCAAAGGCGGAGGAGTCTCCCTAGAGTTGACTGGGCAGCTTGAAGAGCCTATTGCAAAGGGAAGGCTGGGACAGAGCCCAGAGGAAGGCGGCGTCTGGGCAGCATTGTGACCCGCCAGGGCAGTGCACGCATCACAATGCATCCTGGCCTTCTCTCAGGGCGGAGGACTCCACCAGAGAGGGCAGTCCACGCCAGCCAAGCCAAGCCAATTCCTCCCTGCCCCTTGGAAATGGGTTCGGCAGCTGCCTCTCACATCATCATGGCGGGTTTAGTGCCTTCCCCGCCACTGCCACAAAAGAACACTTGCTTTGTGGGCGCGGCCTGAGTGTTCCCAATGAGGACCTCACCAGGCGTGCTGCTGTGGGGTGAGCTCCCATCTATGTCTATAATCCAACCACCTAGTCCCTGTCCAGCATGAAGGAATATTTTTCCACGGCCAACACCCATGGGTCTCAGGTCAAAGGGTGCTCGTTCGCCATCAGTGGAAAGGCTTACCCACCTCCTCCTGGGGTTCACAGATACTGAACTCTAAGCATTTCCCACTCTATGCCCCGCAGCTCTCTGTGGTTGCAGATGGCTGGTTCTCCTGGGCCACTAAATTCCAGGAGGCCCAGCAATGCTAGAAAGCCTATTCTTTTAGAATGCAGGGCTCAGAAGACGACAAGCAGAAATTGTGTCCATAAGCACGGTGGGTTTATTTTGGAAAAAAAAAAAACATCAGGCCTTACCTAGTGACTTAAGAAAGATTTAGCTTAATGCAAAAAACAGAGTGGCTACTGTGAATAAGATGAGTTTCCACATCTACATTTCCAAACGTGACATGGGGGTTGGGGATCTCTTGTGAGAAACATTTAGCACATGTGTTCAACCCTAGACTGAGTCACTTCGGCCCTTTAGGACTGGAGTAGTTCCAGAACATACTTTGAATAGCTACCAGCCACAACAGACAGAAACACATCTTCTCGTTCACAGGCACTTGATCTCTGGTGAGCACATCTTGTGGGACTAAACAAATGCCATGTGGGATAGAAGTGCCCCTCCGTGGCCCACTTCTGACTCAGTGGATGCCGCCAATTAGTCCTTTGGAAAATACGGGTTCCCACAAGGTTTGAGCAGGGGTTGTCACTGAACTGCAGCTTGTCGAAATATTGAAGGATGGGTTATCATATTGTCTGAAGCCAGCTGCACCAAGAAGCCATGGCTTCTTAATCACAAAGGAAATCCATGGTTTGTCGCTGGGCCGTGAACTGTGGGTTGGTCACCATAGTTGGTTATCTTGGCTGTTTTCAGACAACAGGATTACCCACAGTTCGAAGACAACCTACATTCAACCCTCACGTGTGGGTTACTGAGGTGTCTGAAGCCAATCCGTGTCAAGCCGGATGACAAAATAACTCAACCCCTCTTAGCAGTTCTTGTATTCATCTTTTTTGAAAATGTGTCCTGGCAGTGGAAAGCTGATCTGTGGAATGAGCTCTCCCACCCCGATGCCCTCCAGATGTTCTAGACTGCAGTCCTAGCATTCCTGACCACTCACCTTGCATCTGGTGCTGAGGAGAGCTGTGATTGTGAAAGTCCGCATCCGAGCAGCCAGTACAGTCTGCCCATGGCTTCTGCTCTGGTTTGATTTCTATCCCTCCCTCTCTCCAGGGAGCTCACAACAGATGCCAAACATGCCCAAAGCACCTGCTGAATGTGGCTTGTGCTCTGAGCCAGGATTTCAGGGCTCATGAGTAAGCTGAGACTCTAAACCCAGCTCTCTGGTCACACGTTGGATCCCTCCAGTTGCTGATCTCAGAACTCTTCAATAATCCATTTGGCTGAAAATATTTTCAACCTACTTTTTCAGAACATGGTGCTTACACAAGGCAGTTTACAAGAAGGCAAAACAAGAAAGGTATAAATGCTGCAGGGTGAAAGTCCAGCCTGATCCCCAAATCTTCCACAGGTAGAACTCTGAAGACAATCACTTCACAAAATAAGAAAGGAATCACAGGAACTGGAATACTTACTCTTAAGACTTGTCTGATGGAGCCAGACCAAAGCCTGCCAAGTCACCTCAAGCCAGCAGACTTCCATGGTGGGGAAAACAGACTAGCTTAAATGCCCATGTCTAATCTTGCTAACTGTGCTACCTACACTAAAGCATGAACTACAATATCTCTTACCCAAGGCCCCACACTTGTAGGCCTCTTGGCAGGTCAACCCATCACCCCTCTGGAGGGCACTGCAGGGAGCTGAGGACTGGAGCCATCCTCGCCCTGGAGAAGATGAACGGCCTCCTCCCATTGGTGCAAAACCACTACCTCCTGTCCGTGGTCCTTGGGTAACACAAGGTCGCATCACAATGGAAGCTCAAAGTTTCAAGATGCCCAACCTCAGTTTCACCCCTCATCAAAGGACCTTGTCTGGGCAGGAAAATGATCTAGCATCCCGGGCTGCACCCCATGCAGACCGCGGTCAAGGAGGGGAGGAGGACAGCGATGCATATACTCTGCGATGACATGATGTCCTGAGAATGACAGATGTGCACGTTCGAGACAAAATGGAGGAGTTTCTTCTCTCCCATGGTTACCAGATGGGCAAAACCATTGGAGAAGGGACATATTCAAAGGTCAAAGAAGCTTTTTCGAAAAAACACCAACGAAAAGTGGCTGTGAAAATTATAGACAAAATGGGAGGACCAGAAGGTAAGCACCAGGGAGAAGAATTAAAGGAAAGATAGATGAGGCCCAGCACAGCCGCACACTTACCTAGGAATAAATATCCAATCTGTTTCCAGGGGCAGGTTTTTCTGATGAATGCTTCCATTGCAGTGGAGGTTTCTTGGGCAGATGCAGAAAGATGTGTTGCAAGAGGACTGCCCCACCATGAGAAGGAACTTGGGTTCTGTGACATCAGCCTTCCCCAATCTGGTGCTTTTCAGATGTTTCAGACTATAACTCCCAGCATTCCTTACCATAAGCCATGTAAGCTGGAGCTGATGCAAGTTGGTCCAAACATTCTGGAGGACACCAGTACAAAACCATGTATCAAAATGCTTACTACTTTGTGGGATTTGTCCCTTCTGCAGCCATTTTACCAGGAACTATGAGCTTAAAGAGTCCTAGCACCGCCAAGGGCAGCCCGATCCACGTTTTTGTCTAGAATTTCAAGGGCCTTTAAAGCATAGTTCCCAGGCCGCTCAGTGATTGGGTGAGCTGAGCAAGGGGATGTGAATTGCCACCCAACCCATCTAGATGGGAAAACTCCAAATAAGGAATGCTGAGAAAGGCTAAGTGAGGTCCTAGGTGCCTGAAGACATGTCTCCTGCTGCATCTGCCCACCATCTCCTCTGGGTGCTCCAATGTCTGCTGAAGCCAGTGAGAAAGCAACCAGGAACATGGTCTTTTTCAGAACTTCTCCCTCCACAGTGACTTGGCTGCCACACCCACCCCGTGTCTTTTGGGCACTGGGCAAAGTATTTACTATACTTTAAACAGTACAGAATTTATACTTGTATCACACCACGGCGTGACCCAATCCACCGGGTTTTTACAAGTGGTCCAGATGCAGTTGCCAAAAGCCCTGCGTCTTGCAACCACTTCTTCCATCTTGTTCCTTTCCAGAGAAAATCCATTCAGGGGAAAAACAGAAGTAAGTTGCCCAGATGCCTTCCAAGCAGCACCAGTATCACCACCACACTTTCATATCCCACCCACCTCCTCCTCCTAAGGAACTGAAGCTCCGTTTTATCCAGTCTACAGTGCTAAAGCTCTTCCCTCTGGGCACACCCCTAGTTCTTAAACAGTCTTATATTTTAGGGCTCCTACATGGATCACTGCCTTGTCATGGCAAAGGGGCTGGCGTAGCGCAATGAAGCTATGAGCTCTGCCATGCAGGCCACCCAAGACGGACAGGTCATAGCAGAGAGCTCTGACAAAACGTGATCCAGTGGAGGAGGAAATGGCAACCCACTCCAGTATCTTTGCCATGAAAACCCCATGGACAGCACCAAAAGGCAAAAAGATATGACGCCGGAAGATGAGCCCCTCAGGTCGGAAGGTGTCCAATATGCTACTGGGGAAGAGCAGAGGGCTAGTACTAGTAGTGCCAGAAAGAGTGAAGCAACTGGGTCAAAGCCGAAAGGACACTCAGTTGCTGATGTATCTGGTGGTGAAAGGAGAGTCCGATGCTGCAAAGATCTATACTCCATAGGAACCTGGAATGTAAGATCCATGAATCAAGGCAAGCTGGACGTGGTCAAACAAGAGATGACAAGACTGAGCAT